ATAGTTGCAAGGAGGGTGGTTCATCCAAGTCTTTCGGTGGAAAATATGATAAGCAATTTAAGAAGAATGAATCCAAGCCTCCTAAACCTTGCTTCATCTGTGATGGACCATATTGGGTATGAGACGCCCCAACAAGAAGGCAATGAATGCTATGGTTATCGAGTTCAATAAGGAGAAACAAAGGACGGGGATCCCAAGCCAACATGGGTTCCCTACAACATTTGAGCTCCATGTCCAAGACCCTTCCTCCTAGCACGTCCAAGAAGGAGAATGGACTATTATATGCGGATGTAGCCATCAACTGCAAACCAGCTAGCGCTATGCTGGACACGGGGGCTACACACAACTTTATAGATGTTGAGGAAGCCAAACGACTGGGTCTTGATATCATAGGAGCTGGAGGTACTATCAAGTTGGTAAACTCACCAGCAAAACCAATTGCGGGAGTGGCAAAGGCTATGCTTGTGCAAATTGGCTCATAGTATGGTAAGCTAGACTTCACCATTGTGCCCATGGATGATTTCAAAGTAGTATTGAGCCTAACATTCTTTTGCCAGGTAAACACACTCCTCTTTTGCCAGGTAAACATTCTTGAAGGAAGTAAGCCATACATGATCCCATTGAAGAGCATAGAGAAATCAACACCAATGATCTCGGCTATGCAATTCAAGAGGGGCTTCAAATCGGCTGAAAGTTATATAGCAACCATTAGGGAACTAAATGAGGGTGAGGAGGTGACGAATCTTAAGCAACCCTTGCCCGAATGTGTCCAAGCTGTGTTGGATGAGTATAAGGATGTCGTGCCTCCACAGTTGCCAAAAAAGCTTCCTCCTAGAAAGGAGGTTGATCATCAAATTGAGCTTGAGCCTGGTGCTAAGTTGCCAGCCATATCTCCTTATCAAATGTCTCCTCCGGAGTTGGAAGAACTGAGGAACTGACTTCAGGATCTTCTCGACTTGAAGTACATTCAACCCTCTAAGGCTCCTTATGGCACACCGGTCCTTTTCCAAAAGAAGAAGGATGACTCTTTACGAATGTGCAAGACTATCAGGCCTTGAACAAGATCACTATCAAGAAAAAATATCCAATACCTTTGATAGCTGATCTATTTGATCAATTAGGGAATGCACAATGGTTTTTGAAGCTGGACTTACGATCGAGTTACTATCAAGTGCAGATTGCGGCAGGAGATGAGCCGAAGATGACTTGTGTAACTTGATATTGTGCATTCAAATTTTTAGTGATGCCTTTTGGTCTGACTAATGCCCCGGCCACATTCTGTACTCTTATGAATAAGTTGTTCCACCCTTTCCTTAATAAATTCGTGGTGGTTTACTTGTACGATATTGTAGTGTATAGCACTTCTCTCGAATAGCATGTGCAACATCTCAAGCAAGTCTTCCAAGTTCTCCGAGAAAATGAATTGTATGTAAAGGTGGAAAAGTGTTGCTTTGCTCAATAAGAAGTGGAGTTCCTTCGGCATAAGATCAAGGAAGGCAAGCTAATGATGGATCTAGCAAAAGTTAAAGCCATTCAAGAGTGGCAACCTCCATCAAACATACCCGAGCTAAGATCTTTCTTGGGCTTAGTAAACTATTATCGCTGCTTCATAAAGGGGTATTCAGTCATTGCGGCACCCTTGACGAATTTGCTCAAGAAAAATTGTTCATGGCATTAGTCTTCGTAATGCCAAGATGCCTTCGAAGAACAAAAGCAAATGGTGTCCAAAGAGCCTATTATGGTGCTACCTGACTATACGAAGCCTTTTGAGGTGCATACAAATGCGTCAGACTTTGCCATTGGAGGGGTATTGATGCAAGACGGTCATCCCATCGCTTATGAAAGTCAAAAATTTAATGATACCGAATGACGATATGATGTCCAAGAGAAGGAGATGACGACCACAGTTTATTGCCTACGAACATGGTGCCACTACTTGCTTGGCAGCAAGTCTATAGTCAAGACGGATAATGTGGCCATGAGCTACTTCTAAACAGAAAAGAAGTTGAGCCCCAAGCAAGCTCAATGGCAAGACTTCTTGGCAAAGTTTGATTACAAGCTTGAATATAAACCAGGAAGGGCCAACGTTATCGCCGATGCATTAAGTCGCAAGGCGGAGCTAGCCAACATCAGTGCTAGTACCCCATAAAGCAACCTATTGGATCCATCCGAGAAGGTATGCAACATGCTACTTTTACTGGAAACTTGCTTAAACTTGCAAAAGAGGGTAAGACACGAAGATTATGGGAGCAAGATGGAGTACTTTACACTCATGGCAATCGAGTCTTCGTGCCAAAATGGGGGAACCTTCACAAAATCCTTAAGGAGTCCCACGATTCGAAATGGGCTAGACATCCTGGTGAGACTCGTACAATGGCCTTAGTAAGAGTTCATTACTATTGGCCAAGAATGCAAGATGATGTCGAGACATATGTCAAGACTTGCCTTATCTGCCAACAAGACAAGGTAGAACAACAACCTCCCGCGAGTTTACTTGAACCTCTTCCCGTTGCGGAGCATCCTTGGGAAAGTGTCTCGATGTACTTCATCGTTGCACTACCAAAATTTGAAGGATATGGCAGCATCATGGTCGTTGTCGACAAATTTAGCAAGTATGCTACCTTTATCCCAGTCTCTATGGACTGTCAAGTTGATGAAGCAACCTATCTATTCTTCAAGAATGTGGTGAAGTTATGGGGACTTCCTCAGAATATAGTTTGTGACCGAGATCCTCGCTTTACTGGTAAGTTCTGGCGAGAGTTGTTCAAGCTGATGGGGATGGACTTGAACTTCTCAACTAGCTTTCATCCCCAAAGTGATAGGCAAACTGAGCATATCAATGCATTGCTCGAATGCATGCATCGAACTATATCTATGACATAAATCAATGCTTATCAACGAGATTGGGCCAAGTTACTACGACGTTGCCTAATTCTCGATAACCTCCCACATGAAGCAATCTTACGCGGCAAAAGTCCCTTCGAAATTATCATGGGCAGCAGCCATGAATCCTAAGCCATTGCAGCTTCATGTCCCTTCGAAATTATCATGGGACAGCAGCCCATGAATCCTAATGCCATTGCAGCTTCATATGCTGGGGTGAACCCTACAGCCCACAAGTTCACAAGGGAATGGCATGAAGAAGTTGTGAGACTTGTGCTTGTCTCGAGAAGGTTGCTCGACGAATGAAGAAATGGGCCGACACCAAGAGGCAACCAAAGGGGTATGCTAAAGGAGACAAGGTACTGGTCAAACTTCTCCCTAACCAATTGAAGTTGTTAAAAAAGGTGCATAAAGGGTTGGTGAGGAAGTATGAGGGACCATTTCCCATCGTCAAGCGAATGGGAAAAGCTACTTATCAAGTTGAACTGCCTCCGAAGCTAAAGATCCATAATGTCTTCCATGTTATCATGTTAAAACCTTATCGTGCCAATGAGGAGGACCCAAGCAGGAGTGAATCCACACGAGCTCCAACGACTGTTGTCACAGAATTCGACAGAGAGGTGGACGACATACTTGACTCACGAGTAGTGTGGAGACATGGAGTCCCAAACTACCGCAAGTACTTGATTGCCGGAGTTCGAAGCTAGCTGGAGCGTGAAGACACTCTTTGGCAGTTCGTGGAAAAGATAAAGGAATACAAAGTTCAGGGCGCGACGAGGGCGTCGCGAGCTTGAGTGGGGGAGGGTGTTACGCCCCGCACGGCAGCAGGCGGAATTGCAAGACAGCCTCCAAAATGGCTTGCAAATGTGCTGAAATTTCCAGAAGCTTCCAAAATTTGTGGGAAAGGCTTGGAAGGCTAAAAATGGGCTGCGACAATGAGCCAAGACTTGGGAAGCCTCAAGCCCAAAGGTGGAAGCCTCAAGCCCACAAGGTGTTTGATAAAATGCCTAAGACATTCTAGAATGTTCCAAACCACAAGATGTTTGATGAAATGTACCACTCCTCCCTCATTTGTAATCATTATGTACAAAGTTATTAAAGAATAATACAACAAAGCTCTTCCAAAATCCTCTTGTGCTCTCTTCCATACTTAGCTTTTATTCTCGCTCCAACACACTTCAAGGCTTACTTAGCACCTCCTAAACACTCAAGGGTGACTAAGTACCGCACGGATAGGCATAGCTAAATCCTATTTTTGTGACATTTCACATACTATATTTTTCTCATTTCATTTGGCAAAAATGGAGAGTTTTATGTGAATGAGGGAGAAGTTAACCCAAGGTGAAGAGTAGACTCCATGTTAATATATTTCTACTTTGCAATTTAACCCCTTATTATAATTTTGGGTGCTAATGCAATAAAAGATGATAGTTAGAATGAAATTGGCATAAAGTAGAAAATAGAGTGAACTCGCAACAGAACTGAAAGTTCAGGGTAAAACAATCTATTAGACCTATTCTGGAATGTTTCTCTATTCTCCAGACAATAGACTTTAGGCACTAAACTATTTCAATATGCAAGCAGTTGTTGAAAATTATATTTTGTTAAATTAAATATTAAACTTTTATTTATAGAACAAAACATTTTAAAAATAGACTAAGTATTGTTAACAAATATTAAACTCTTATAAATTTTATACTTTTCTATTCTTTTACTTACATACTGAAAAATTATTAATTCGTTATAATTAATCAAGTCAGTAATAAATTACAATTTAATTGCAAAATGCCCAAAAATGTTTATAAAATGTAAAAATGTAAATTTATAATAATATTAGTTTCCTTCTTCCATAATTTTGGGTTTCTAAATAAAAGAAAATAAAATTTCTCCCTTATATTTTTCTTCCAATGCATAGAATGGAAAATAAATAGTGCAATCCTTCAATATTTTTCTCCCTTATTTTCTTTTCTCTCTTCCCTAAACAATAATGTAAAATTTTTAAAAGTGTTGGAAGTGTTTTTAAAGCGCTGATAATTAATAAAAAAAAAAAATGACAGTTTTTCTTTAATTATCTGATACGTGTCGAATAGTAACCCAAAAAACGCCATAATTCTTAGATTATTAGAACAAAACAAAAACCAACTTGGGTGTCGGGGTACGCATCTAATCCAAATAACACCATAGTTCTTAGATTTTTAAAACAAAATCTGCGAATATAGACTAACAAAAACCAAATTGGGATACGCATGTTGAAGATGATAAACAAGTTCAGAGCAACTCATAGCCTTTTGAAGCACTTCAATTATCGATTAATCCCCGATAATTCCGTCCTCCGTTCCGCTTCAGGCAAGAATCGATTACGCGTTTACTAAGTTTGATCTTTTAATCTTGATTACCGATCACCACCAATAATTGGAACTGTCTATTGAAACAGGCTTTACGCATCACTTCAATGAAAGTGTTGATGATGCCAATCAGAAGCAAGAATTGCAGACTCGTGGTCGTTCCTTTAGGGAATGCGGAGAAATTTTCTCGTCTTCAAATGAAAGAGGCTTTGGAAAGATGCCGGCAGTTCAATGTAGAAGTTTTGGCTCCGCGGCGACAACAATTAAGAGAAATCCATCGTTTGCGACCTTGAATTCTGATGATATATCGTATTTTAAGGGGATTTTGGGCGAGAAATATGTTGTTCAAGATGAACTTGCTTTGGAGCTTGCAAATTCAGATTGGATGCATAAATACAAAGGTTCAAGTAGGCTTATTCTCCTACCTAGGAGCACTGATGAGGTACATTTCTTTACTTGGATTTTGTATTCTTTTGAGTTCTACTGTTTATAAGTTAAAATATGATTTCGCGGTATTGATTTCTTTTTTAATTATTGTGCTATCTAAGTAACCTTGAAATAGTTGGTTTTGTTGATCTTTATGCGAGTTTGGTTCACAGAGATAAGAGCATACTCAAGCTAAATTCACTAAGGTTGCTAGTTTAATTGTTCTCAACTGGGAAAATTTTGTTCCTTCGTGGCGTTGCGCTTTAATTTCCCACATGAAAAACTGGGACTTAATAGTTAATCCATGTCCCTGTCCTATAACTTTTCGCCCTGTGCATTTTATTTAGCTAACGCTAACACAAGAAGGCAAGCCCAGAAGGTATAAAAGAAAGAAATGAGATGAGATTATCTATTAGAATACAAATGATCCATCGAAATTGTTGGATAAATAGTATGATTATAATTACATTTTTTTTTTTCAAACTTGGATATCCCAATTCATAATGTCTATTATTTTTTTATGAATATTCTTTTTTACTTGTCCATGAGAAATTTTTAATAAGTTTATGTGGGGAGAACTATATTCATCCTATGATGTAAGTTCAATTTTTCCTTTTGGCATTCTTAGCTTGATGAAATAATATTTTTAGGTTGAGCTCCACTGAAGAATTCCTTGATCTGCCATTATATATCTGAGGAAATAATATTTCTGTACTCATTTTGTCTGCAGGTCTCCCAGATTCTTAAATATTGTAATTCGAGGCACTTGGCTGTTGTTCCACAAGGTGGAAATACTGGCCTTGTAGGTGGAAGTGTGCCAGTTTTTGATGAGGTGATGCTGTTATTCCACCTATGATCATAACCGCTCATTGATCTTCTTTTATCAGTGCAACCTGTTATTGGTGGGCTTGTCTTGACCTCTACCATATGCTTATGCGAATGTTTTGTGGAAGGTTCTTTAATGTTGCATCATTTGATATTCTTTTTAATTTATTACATGCTATACTTGTTAGGAATAATGTAGGTTTAATATTTACCTATCATTATTTGTTGCTTATTAATTCCTATAAATTGCAGTACATTAGATAAAAAAAATCATTCAATGCCCACCAATGGTTCAATTTGAACAATCAACTTAGATGTTGTCAGGATTTTGTTAAATGATTTAGATGAGAAAAGAAAATGGACTCTGGGTTGCACTACAAATTGCAGTTAGAGCTTTCAGTAAATATACAAAAGCGGGCATTAACTTTGTCATGGTGAAATTGAGAAACTGGAACAAGGATTAGGTGCTAGGAAAAGGAATGACAAAAATGACAGATATTTTCAGTTTGAAGAGACTGGATTCTTATTCTTTTACTAGGAGAAATACCTTGGCAGGTTAGAAAGCAGATGGGGATTATTTAGCTGCTGTGAATAAATTGGTATAACATTTCAACCTGTTAATTGATCCTGTCTTGGATATTATCAGCTTGCATTGAATAAGTAAGGAGTTTACTATTTCCATAAGCTGCAAGTAATTGCAGTTTGACTTAAGAATATGAAGGTGCGAGCTTGATTATGGATGTTATCACACGAATACTGGTTAAACCCCTTTTAACCTTAAATTCTGGTTGAGCTGCATGGTTCATTCTTGCTCTTTCTTAATGACTTAATAAACTGTCGTGAAATATAAAATATTTTCTAGAAACCTGATTTGAGGGTTTCTTTTCTTGGCCAAAAAGCAAGCATGTAGTCTGTCGGTCACCACTCAATTATCTTACTGATTATATATCCATCGATGCATTGAATATCCTATCTATACAGTTTACATGCACCTGTGCATACTAAACCAGGTATACTTGCAGACAGTGCATGCTGGACCTTGAAGAGTGACGAGTTTGTTGCCCAAAATTCATTTTGGCCCTGAAATTGAGACAAAGAACTGCCTAACTTAATCTTAAGATTAGTTGTTCCCAGAGCAACACATTTGCAACCTTAATATGATTATAGATTGGTGATGATGTGCAGATGCACATATAAGATTGTACATATGTGATATAATCCTGGTTTTTTCATATAAACCATAATTCACATCTTTGGAAATATTTCCTATTTGATCTAATAACTGAAATGCTAACTCATGATATGATCTACAGGTAATTATCAAGATGAGTTCTATGAGTAACATTATAGCTTTTGACAAGGTAGGCATGTTATCCCATTCGTTATTATTCATTTGAGTTCTAGGCTTTGCTTGATACTTGAGTTGCATTGCTTCTTTTTTTTTTTTTTTTTTTTTTTTTTTTTCCCATTCGTTATATTCATTTTGAGTTCTAGGGCTTTGCTGATACTTGAGTTGCATTGCTTCTTTTTTTTTTTTTTTTTTTTTTTTTTTTTTTTTTTTTTTTTTTTTTCGGGTTAATATTAGATTCTAGAGGTTTTGTCTCTGTCTCATAGCTTATATTTTTCTTTTTTAAAGGTGTACTTTATTAATTTAAAATTCAAAATTTCAATTTTAATGGTGTTTAAGTCAACATTTCTGCTCATCTTGGAGTGACTATCTCATTCTTTCTTTCAGGTTAGTGGCATACTTGTTTGTGAAGCTGGATGCATATTGGAAAATTTGATATCCTTCCTGGATAACCAGGGGTAATTCACCTAAATCTTTGTTGTCTTTTCTAGACCTGCTACACATGGAGACTACCAGAAAGAATAGATGAACATAATACAACTATAATTGAAGTTCCGTGGTTGATTTTCCTACTTAAAACTCAATTATATATGATGCTCATTTTCTTAGCAACCACTTATTTGGAATGACAACAGCTATTGATAATTTCATGATGAGTTATTTGCAACTGAATAGCATTCAAATTTCTAAAAATCCTCAGTGTGCCAAAGAATTTCTCAAATGAATCATTTTAGAATTCCAATTTTTACTATAAAGAGAACCATGTATGGGTTAATTTGCAATAAAATGTGATATTGAATCTTCTCAGTTTTATTTGGTGTATGCAGCAGCGCTTTCTGATGTAGTTTGGTTTTACACTATGTCAAATTAGTAGTAATCTCTGGACCATCTAATTAAGATTAACCAAATGGAAAATTGACAATTTGTTTATATTTTATTCAAGTAAATTATGCTTCCATTCAGATTTATTATGCCACTGGACTTAGGTGCAAAAGGAAGCTGCCAAATTGGTGGAAATGTTTCAACTAATGCTGGCGGTCTGCACCTTGTTCGTTATGGTTCGCTGCATGGGAATGTACTCGGTGAGAATTATCATTATCTGGTGAACTTTGATATTTACCTTTTACATATTGTTAAGTCCCCTTCTAATAGAGTAAAGAACAGTTCCAATATCTGTAAATTAAATGGCTGAAACAAAAAAAAAAAAAAAAAAAAAAAAGGAGAGAAAAAAAAAAAAAAAAAAAAAAAAGGAAGAAGAGAGAAATTGTATTAGATTGATAGGACTGAATCAATAACAATGTATTGTCAATACAATAATCTCAGTAGTCTAAAATGGAGAAAAGAAATACAAGAGATAACTAAAATCTTAATTCCAAAGAAACCAAGCCAAGAGCTACAGCTTTCCAACAGAATAATCTGTCCAAAACTATTTGCCAAAAAGATCCTCAACCTTCTCCTCACTTGCCTTCTTGTATTGGCGTGATACGCTCATCATAACCGATTGTGATAGGTGTTACATTCTCATTCCTTGGATTATTCCCCTGTTTTCTTGGATTACTCACCAAATTAGCAGCAGTCTTTGGCCTTCTTGAGTAAACCTTAAAGGACCTGGGCTCATTTCTATTAATACTTCTCCCTGAATTAACAGCCTTGTCCTCAAGGTTGTAATATGGAAATTGCCCAATAAAGTCAGATGCGTCCATCCAGGTGGATTCTTCAACCGGATGGCCTGTCCACTGAACAAGGAACTGCTTGACGTTGGTATCATCTTTCTTGACAGAGCGAGTCTGTAATATGGCAACAGGTTCTACTATAGGCTCTCCAACATCTTGCAGTTGTTCAGATTGTTCGGTGACCAACCTATGCTCCCCAACGACCTTTTTCAGCTGAGATACATGGAAGACCGGGTGTATTCGAGAGGAAGAGGGCAGGAGCAGCTTGTACGCGACGGCTCCCACTTTAGCAACAACCTCGAAGGGGCCATAAAAATGCGCTGCAAGTTTAGCATTAACCCGTGAGGTTACTGATTGTTGCCTATAGGGTTTGATTTTGAGGAATACTTTGTCACCCACCTGAAATTGCACATCGCACCTATGGCGGTTGGAGTACTTAGTCATCAAGTGTTGAGCCTTTGTAAGGTTGAATTTCAGCTGGCGAATGATTTCATCCCGATCCTGAAGTTGAAGTGACACTTCCTCTACCTTTATTTCCCCCGGCAGGTGTTGATGAATGGTGGGGGGTGGACGGCCATAGACTATCTTGAAAGGTGTCTTCTTTACTGCACCTTGGAAGCTTGTATTGTACTAATATTCTGCCTATCCAAACCATTTTGCCCAGCTTTGCGGCTGCTCGGAGTAGAAGCAGCGGAGGTAAGACTCAACACATCGGTTCAGAACCTCAGTTTGCCCGTCCATCTATATGTGGTAGGCTGATGAGAACTTGAGTTGGGTGCCTTGGAGCTTGAATAATTCTTTCCAGAAGTTGCTTAAGAAGAGTGGGTCACGATCACTAACCATAGTTTAAGGAAATCCATGAAGCCGAACAATTTCTGAAGTGAACAATTCAGCCACTCTTTTAGCAGTGAAAGGATGCTTCAATTTCAAAAAGTGACCATACTTGGATAATCTGTCCACTTCAGCCACTCTTTTAGCAGTGAAAGGATGCTTCAATTTCAAAAAGTGACCATACTTGGATAATCTGTCCACGACCACTAAAATACAATCAGCCCCGTGAGATCATGGTAAGCCAGTGATAAAATCTAGGGCGATTTCCTCCCAAATCATATTAGGAATGGGTAGTGGCTGTAGCAGCCCGGCGGCGGATTGAGCCTCGTATTTATGTTGCTGACAAACCAAACAAGCAGCCACAAATTTCTAGATTTGTCCCATCATCCCTGTCCAATAAACGCTTGAGGCAATGCGACGGTAGGTGCGATATGCTCCGGAATGACCACCCGTGGGTGTAGAGTGAAATTCTGAGATTATCTGCTCTAACCACTTAGAAGTAGCAGGAAGCACAAGCCTTCCCTTGAAATAGAGTCTACCATGGATGAGACAATAATGAGGGTACTTCTTAGGATCCTTCCGCAAGTCAGAGATTAACTGTTGCAGAACCCCATCGGCCTGAATTTCTTGGTTGATTTCTTCCCATTCCACCCATAGAGAGCATGACATTACTTGGAATTGAGGGCTGTCATCCTGTCGGGATAGTGCGTCGGCAACTTTGTTGGGGTTTCCGGGCTTATATTCAATCTGAAAATTGTAACCCATTAGTTTGGAAATCCAATGCTGTTGTGCTGGGGTGGTTACCTGTTGGGAGAGCAAGTTGCCTAGGCTTCGTTGATTGGTACGAACCAAGAAATTTGGGCCGATCAAGTATGGCCTCCAATGGCGGACAGCTAGGACTTAGGCCATTAGTTCATTGTCATAGGCTGATCTTCTTGAAGCGGGATCAAAAGTGCCTTTACTGAAGTAGGCAATGGGTTTTCCTTGCTGCATTAGGACAACCCCTATGCCAGTCCCGGATGCATCACACTCAACAACAAAGGGCTTGGTGAAGTCGGGCATAGCAAGTACAAGAGATGTGGTGACTGCTTGCTTCAATGTTTCAAATGAATCTTGTGCCAGCGAGTTTTAGGAGAACTTTTGTTGAGACTCTTTCTTCAAAAGTAAAGTGAGTGGCCGAGCCAAACGACCGTAGTTGCGGATGAACTTCCTATAGTATCCTGTGAGTCCCAAGAATCCCCTAACAGCTTTTACAGACCTTGGGGTTGGCCATCGGAGAATACTAGTAACCTTTACTAGATCCATGGAAACCCCCTCGCTTGAGATTATGTGCCCCAAGTACTCCATTGATGACTTGGCAAAGGAACACTTCTTTGGGTTAACATGTAGTCGATGCTGCTCTAGAAGGGTAAGAACCATGGATAAGTGTTGAAGATGAGATTCCCAGTCCTTACTGTAAATCAGTATGTCGTCAAAGAATACTAACACAAAACGATGAAGGTGAGGGCGGAATATGTCATTCATAATAGCTTGGAACGTGGTAGCAGCATTCATAAGCCCTAAGGGCATAACCAAGAACTCGTAGTGTCCTGTGTGTGTTGGAAAAGCTGTCTTATGAATGTCAGGTGTTGAAACTCGGATTTGAAAGAACCCCAATTTCAAATCCAGCTTGGTGAAAAATAGGCGCCATAAAGTTCATCTAGCAACTCTTGAACCACTGGAATTGGATACTTGTTCGGTACAGTGGCTTTGTTCAATTGGCGGTAATCGACGAAAAAATGCCAACTACCATCTTTCTTGCCCACTAGCAACACCGGGCTAGAGTAAGGACTGTGACTAGGCTGTATAATTCCAGCAGATAACATCTCAGATACTAGCTTCTCAATTTCGTCTTTCTGCAAATAGCCATACCTGTATGGTTTAACACAAATCGGTTCCTGCCTGTTTTGAGAGTAATTTGATGGTCAGCCAGTCGATGTGGAGGAAGAGATCGAATCTCATCGAAGACAATCTAGTGTTTCTCTAGTAACCTGTGCAATGTCGATTCTTATGAAGACGAGAGCTCATTTGTGTGTAGTGGGGAAATTTCAGCATCGACACCCCAAGCAAAACAGAGAAGTCTACGTCCAATAATTTGCGGATGGACTTTAGGGAAGAAGGAGTTCTCATAAGAGACGGGTCACCCACTAGAGAAACGGTATGTCCTTCATGGGTAAACTCCATAGTCATCTGAGCCCAATTGCTCCGTATATCACCCAAAGTTTCTAGCCATGCTATTTCCAGAATGAAATCAACCCCATGCAATGGAAAGATGAAGAAGTTGCCCACAATTTCAAATGAACCAAACCGTACCTGAAGTTGACGACACATACCCGAGGCGGCTACTCGATTACCGTTCCCGAGGCGAACGTAATAGACGGGAGTGGGGGTGACTGTAAGTTTGAGCTCTTTGTGGACTTGGGACGAGATAAAATTGTGGGTTGCTCCACTATCCACCATGATCACAACCTCCATAGAAGAGAAAGTACCTTTGAATTTCATGGTTTTTGGTTTGGAGATGCCCCCAATTGAGTTAAGAGAAAGCTCTATATTGGAGAAGTGAGCTTCATCCCAGGTGACAGGAGGATCGGTCTCAACGGTAGCATCCAATTCGGCCATCTGGCCTTCATTCACTGCGGGCTCGTATTCACTAGCAATTAGGGCACGATGGGTGCGATTGGGACATTCATGAAGGGGTGAGTAAGGCTGTTTGCACTTAAAGCAAAGTCCCTTGGCTCTGAGATTTTGGTATTCTTGGTGGGAGTAGTGGCAGGTGGCTCTTGGTGGACGAATGTGGGTGGCTGGTTTTGTAGGTGGTGCGGGTAGAATGTGGGTGGCTGGTTTTGTAGGTGGTGCGGGTAGAGCTAGAGGGCGTGGTGAGGAATCTGGTGGTTTGAGGGGTGGGGATGGAGGTGTCTCACGTTTCTGCAAGGTGAAGGTGTTAGTTGGGCATGTGGAGTAGCTTGGGCCTGAGGGTTTTGGGCCGAGCCCGAATTTGGGGGTGGGAAAGTGTTGTTTGGTGGGAGAAGTTAATTTCCCTTTCAATCTCGCGTGCCACCTTCATCGCGCGACGCAAATCGATTTTGTCGGGTGAACGCAGACGGAGTCGAATGTCACAGCGTAGACCATTGAGGAAATATCCTAACAGCTGCGGGTCAGATAAGGATGGGGCTTGGGCTGCTCGGGAGATGAACTCGACAATGAAGGAGGAGACTGTCCCAACCTGGGCCAGATAAGGATGGGGCTTGGGCTGCTCGGGAGATGAAATCTCTTGTATCAATAGAAGGAGCGAGACTGTCCCAACCTGTTTTGACTGCTGAACGCAGACGGAGTCGAATGTCACAGCGTAGACCATTGAGGAAATATCCTAACAGCTGCGGGTCAGATAAGGATGGGGCTTGGGCTGCTCGGGAGATGAACTCGACAATGAAGGAGGAGACTGTCCCAACCTGTTTGACTGCAGCAAGGAGCTCGTAGGGGTTCTCAGAATCATCCCCACTCAACTGAATGGCTATTTCCTCTTTTAACTGGTTTCAAGAGAAAGCAGGCTTGCGCTGCCGAACCCATCGATGCCAGTGAAGAGCTTCTCCTTCATAGCCACAAGGGCCAAAGGAATCTTCATATCGGGTTCCGACTGATGGAGCTCGAAGTATCGTTTTGCCCGTGCAATCCAACTTATTGGGTCAGACCCATTGAAGATAGGCATGTCAACTTTCTTAATTTGGTCTTGAATAGATGTGGGTGTGGTAGGTGTTGTGGCTGGTGGTGTGGGAATGGTTGTAGTGGGTGCGATGTTTGGAGGAGGCTGTGGACGGGAAGAGGTTGGTTTGGGAGAGGAGGAGTCACCGGATTCTGTTTGGGCCCTGCCGGCAGAGAGAACTGACATAAGTTGGTCGAACTTGGTTGTGAGAGTGGACATTTGGTTGGTGAGGGATGTAAGGTTCTGGGTATATTCATTGTGGAAGGATGTTTGAGAGTTGTCAAGGGTGGCAAGGTGAGCTTCAATGGTGGAAATATTCCTCTCTATCTGATCAAACCGCGAATCTTGTCTGGTGTTTGTCATTGTGGAGGTTGAAGAAAAGGGCAGGTCGGACCAAATTGATAGAGTAAAGAACAGTTCCAATACCTGTAAATTAAATGGCTGAAACAGAACAAAAAAAAAAAAAATGAAGAGAATGTAAAGGAAGAAGAGAGAAATTGTATTAGATTGATAGGACTGAATCAATAACAATGGATTGTCAATACAATAATCTCAGTAGTCTAAAATGGAGAAAAGAAATACAAAAGATAACAGAAATCTTGATTCCAAAGAAACTAAAATGGAGAAAGAAGAGCTGCACAGCAAAGATAACGAGCATGAGGATCTTGATTCCAAGAAACCTATAAGACGAAGACGACGCGGACACGGCCGAGAGCCAGAATAATCTGTCGCAAGAACTATTTGCCAAAAAGATCCTCAGCCTTCTCCTCACTTGCCTTCTGGTGAGCGGGCTGGATAGCCCTCCGCATCGACTAAAGCCCGATTGGCGCGCGCCCGACAGGTGTTACATTCTCATTCCAATGATTAATCCCCTTTTTCTTGAGATCACTCACAAAATTAGCAAGCGAGTCTTTGGCCTCTTGAGTAAACCTTAAAGGGCCTGGGCTCATTTCTATGCACCTTTTTTCAATAAGTAGTCTAAAATGGAGAAAAGAAATACAAAAGATAACAGAAATCTTGATTCCAAAGAAACCAAGCCAAGAGCTACAGCTCTCCAACAGAATAATCTGTCCAAAACTATTTGCCAAAAAGATCCTCAGCCTTCTCCTCACTTGCCTTCTTGTACTGGCGTGATACCCTCATCATAACCGATTGCGACAGGTGTTACATTCTCATTCCATGGATTAATCCCCTGTTTTCTTGGATCACTCACCAAATTAGCAGCAGTCTTTGGCCTTCTTGAGTAAACCTTAAAGGGCCTGGGCTCATTTCTATCACCTTTTTTCAAATATTCATAGTAATATGCTCCCTCTCTTCCTTTTTAGGTGTCATGATTCTAAATTGTACAAGATTAAAAAATTCATTATGCAACCTCAGGTTTAGAAAAAAAATAGTTGTAATTGACTAAGTTACCTTTGTATTAGTTCTCTAAATAATCAATGCTTCTTTAGTGAAGATAAAAAGAGTCAATGGTAAAGTTAGAAAAAATAATTAATGCTTCCTTGATTTTCGGAGGTGACAGACAAAAAGAAATTAAAAAAATTTGAATTGTGACATGTAAAAAGGAATGGAGGGAGTAGCAAGGTAATCTAAAATGCAACATGAGCAGGTTAATGAGTAGATACAATCAAAAATTTGATGGTTATATACAGAAGCATGCTATTAGTATTCTACGAGCTTGTTACCCGGCAACGCGCCGAATTTCTGTTTCTTAAAGAAAAGGTAATAGAGTAAAAAAAGTGAAAAAAGTTATGTTTAACTTTTTTAAAGAAGTGATGAAATGAATTGCACAATATGCAAAAGCTATGTTGAATAAATATTATATATTTTTAAAAATTATAAATAGTTAGATATTTGATTATTTTAGAGGTTATATGAGTTGTAAAGTTTAAGGTAAAATCATTGTAATTGTATAATTAAGAATATTTTAGGTATAGAAATTAGGTTTTAAACACTTTAATTAATCAAATAAATGACTGTTAAATATGATATGGTACTTAAAAGATTCTATGTATTTTTAGTAATATAAATACATTGTTTTAATCATCTTAAAGCCATTATATTTATTGTATTTGACCTATTTTATTTTTATTCAACATCTTTATTTTTATTTTTAATAGTACAAATTTATTAATGAATTTATCACTTTGTACTATCCAAAATTATTCAATATATAATATATACTATTTTTTATGTTTTTAAATTTCTCAAATTCTACCTGTTAAGTAATGTAATTTTTAATGATTTATAAACTACCTTCCACAATTTTTACATATATTGTTTACTTTAATATTAAAAAATAACCAAAGGATAATATTGTTTAAATTGAAGCTATAAGTGTAGGATTGTCAAGTTGTAGCAAAATGACATCACTGTAATTAAAAAATATCAAAGGGCTAAAGTATGAAAACATTATTGTGGATCTTATTTCAAGAACCATGTCAATAAAAATGTGTTTTATTACCTCTTTACACAATTTGGAAAAAAATAAAAGAGTATAAATGTAATTAAAGAGATATCAAAGGGGTAAAATTGAGAAAATACTATTGTGTCATGTCAATAAAAATAGGTTTTATTATCTTTTTATACAATTAAAAAAATAAAAAAATCCATTAAAAAGATATTAAAGAGCAAAAGTGAGAAAACATTATTAAGAATAGTATATATATACAATGATAATATAATATCTAATGATTCTAAATATAAATTTGGATGGAATTTTAATTGTTTTTAAAAAATAAAAACAATAATTTTAGATATTGGATGTTGTATCTTGGGCCAGCGTGACCTCATTAGAAGACAGTTGACAGGTGAGATAAGCAATAGGCCCATAACACTGTCAAAACTACCTGTTATGAACAATGAGAAAAAGGCAAAATGTTAAATATACTATTATGGCAATAGTAATCGCTCATGCGGCTTAGATATATGTAATAATAATATGTATTATATATAGGCATCATACATATTTGTTGTATTGTTTTGTCTGCATATGTGTTTGCTGGTGACATACTTGCTATTGATAATTGCATGGCCAGAAGTTTGCCTTCTTATTATCTTATCTATTATGTTGGGGTAAGAGGCACAATAGGGTTGAAGGTGTAGTATGTTGAAAGTTGATATTAGTATTGTATATGTGTTATATATAGGCATCATACATATTTGTTATCTTGTATTGTCTATATATGTATTTACCTGTGACATATTTATTATTTGTTAATTTCATGTCTAGCTTATTATCTTACTTATTATGTTTAGGTAAGACACAAATGTTTTGAAGGTGTAGTAATTGAGTTACCTATTTTGAGGTGTTGAAAGTTGCTATTAGCTTCTAATCTTGCTCTTTAGTGCAAATATTCGGTGATTATACCTCTTGTATTTGTTCTAAGACATTTTTTGGGCATACCATACAGGTCTTGAGGCTGTTCTAGCAAATGGTACTGTGCTTGACATGCTTGGAACTTTACGTAAAGATAATACTGGCTATGACTTGAAGCATTTGTTTATAGGTGTGAGCTAAGGACTCTGGTTGCTGTTTCTATATCAAGGTTACTAGTCAATTTTTTAGTGTATGGTGCAATTCATATATTTATGTTGTGTTTTGGTATATAGGAAGTGAGGGGTCCTTGGGAATTGTAACTAAGGTGTCCATACTTACCCCACCAAAGCTGTCAGCAGTGAATATAGCTTTTCTTGCATGCAATGATTATCTCAGCTGTCAGGTATAATTTCAGGCCCGTATAACTAATGTTCCTATGTGTAAAATGGATTCCTTTTGGCATATGTGCTCACTATATAGACATGCCCAAATCAACTAAGCCTCAAACCCAATCTAGATGGGGATTGGTTATATGGATCCTTTTCCCCCTTTCAACTTGGTTTGGGATTATGTGTACACACACACACACACACACACACACGCACAGAGACATCCACCTTAACTTCAGACATCCAATGGAGAATTTTTTTTCCTTTGGGTGATTGCACAATGCACGTTATAAGTAGTTAGTTTAAAAGTTCATGTTATATCCTAATGGTTGGATCCTTGAAAACTACTTAGCTTCTTTTGTTGTTTAGTCAAGGAAATAGAACCGCTATCACAGTCATTTGGTTTTTCCCTGAAAATTTCATTTTTCATTATCTATCTTGATAGACAATTAAAGCTACTAATGTCTTTTGCTACATGGTTAGTATATCATTAAACAATCTTAATTTGTTTATGCCTTGTTTTGTAGAATTTGTACTATCCTTGTTGACAATAAATGATAACGAAAAGAGAAAAAATGAAATAAAAGTTGAACTAGTAGTCAAAAAGATTTCTTAGACTTTGTGCAATAAGCAATGATTACCTATGATCAATAATATAGTTTTATCACTTGAGGCACAAATATTAGGGTGTCGGTTAAGAATTTAGGATTCAGAACAAGATAACTATTGATGCATTGATTGACAAGATTGAATAAAGACTTTAGAAGGATTTCTGTAATTTTCTTTACACTTAGCAGAAGAGCCAAAAAGAAAAGGTACTTGATTATTTTTTGAGGCGACATAGTTTAGTTTAGAAATTCTTTTTATGATTTACTTTTATGTAGAAGAAATTTTACTAGAAAGTTTGCTTTATTGTTTCTTGTCATCTTCATCATTTAGATGTTGCCTTTGAGTAGATAGAATGTTTTTGTTGCCTTTCCTTATTTTCTGTTCATTTTACCAGAAACTTTTATTGGAAGCAAAGAGTAAACTTGGAGAGATTTTGTCTGCGTTCGAATTTTTGGATAGTGAGGCAATGGAATTGGTTAGTTTCTTTTCCTCGTTCTATTCTTCATTCTCTTGTTATATTTTTGGATATGAGGCAGTGGAATTGGTTAGTTTGTTTTCCTTGTCCTATTTTAGTTTGTTCATTTGTAATGAGCAACTATAATTAGTGGTAGATGTGGAAGGGGGCCACTACTTTTTAGGTAAAACTGTGAACTTTCTGCTTCTATGTAAAGCATTGAAAAAAAAAGAGTAAAGAATTCAATAGGGGAAAAATAATAATTAAAAATGATGGCAGACTCATGACAAAGATTTATATACAAAGCCCTTCTATGTAAGAGGAAAAAACCATGGGCAAAACTATGAATAGATCTTTACTATTAAGAATAAAATTATGATCTTTCCTAAAGCTAGAGGTATATGAAATTATAGTTGTAATAAAAAGATATTCTTAGAACTAAAAAGTAGAGAGATGTCATAAAATAATAGTTCGTGTCTCCCAAGAATACCCATTAGCTAAAAACTAATTTCCACTATTTTTCTCTTTCAAAAACACAAATCTCAACTTTCTCTTAACATAGAGCTCTACTCACTTCATTTTAATAACCTGCTCATCAAGGACCGATATATTGATGAGATAACATGGAAAGAAATCTTCTTGTTTTTTCTTTCTTTTCTTTTCCTTTTTTCTATTTTAAAGTTTAATTGTTAAACCTCCATGCTGAAAGAAATTAAACCATCAAATATCCCCGCAAACTCCATTGAGGGCTCTTACATGCCTGAATTTGTTCTTCAGACTTTTCTTTAAATGATGATTTAGTTGCGTTATTAAACCATTATCAATGGTGTCAATCTTTTCAAGCTCCAATTGTTTCTAATCAACTCATCGCCTATCTAATGTGATTTCATATTGATATTTTTTTACCTAGAATGGAAGATTATGCGATTACTATGGTGATGACATTTTGACTATCAAAATACGGGATGTATCTATTTTGAATAAATTGAAACCCTTGTAAAAACTTCTTCATCTTCGTCTTGCAAGCTTTAATAGTTGCAATGAACTTAACATTTGTTGTAGAGTGTTTTTTGTAACCTTAACTACCAAGATATAGTACCCTTGCAAAAGTAACCAAGTATCTTAAGGTGATTCTTTTGAAGGCAACAATTGTAATCATATGAGCATTTTGTTACATATACGATATAAGTTTTTCACTTCCAGATCAAATTGAAAATTTGGAAGCACCTTGAAGATAATTGAAAATCCATTTTACTCCACCCTAATATAGACTACCAAGATTAAAGAGAAATTTGATAATAACACTAACAAGGTTGTCAAACTCGCATTGTTATATGGAAGCAGTGGATGGTGCACAAAAATGAGAATGTAAACTGGAATTGTAAAATTGTAAGATTTTACAAACCTGCTAAAATAAAGTAATACAGCTCCCGTGCATATTAATGACAAGTCAAGAATAAAAATAAAAATAGAAAATAGATAATATTATCATAATACAAACCAAGTTCACAACACACAATAAAAAAATAACATAATAATTTGTAAGTGAAGAAAAATACTAAATAAAACATAAACTAAAATATTAGAAATAGTCGTTAGCACTATTTTCAAGACAGTGGCTTGCTGGAAACTCAGAGTATTTACTTGATCCAAGATGTGTAATGTATATGCCATTACAAAATGATATATTAATATGCTAATAAGTCATTTAATGACAGTTCCATCTATCACTTTATTGTGAAAGACCAGACTGGCCTGTTCGACCATAACCACCTCCATATTCTGATGATTAGGGTTCGACAATGGATTTGAGTCACTGATTGGCTCTGTCCTCTATTTCATTATTCACATCATTATTAATATTTTCATCACCACCAAATGCATTACCTATATCATCACCATCAAATGCACTATCTATATCATCACCACTAAATGTATTACCTATCTCAGTCACCATCCAAATTAGATTCATGGATTTCTAAATCATCTCCTGTTTCATGACTTTTTATGTTCTCAAATTCATTTGATACTTCGTTTTCACCACTTTGATCTTCTTCATCTATATTTATACCACTTGTTGCTCCACTTCTAAGAGCATCCAACCAATCATTATTTGTTGTTGATGGTGAAGCAAGATGATCTTCTTCAGCTATCCACTCATCATCAAATAGTAACTCTTCAAAAGATGTTGGCTCATCATAATTTTCAGCTTTTCTGTCTTTTAACTTTAAATTATACATTACAAAACCAAATCATTCATTTTCTTTTGGTGCAAGCAATTTCTTTTCTTTGTATGAACCTATAGAGGTAAAGAATGTGACTAAACAATATTAGATAACATATATATGAATTAAAAAAATTATAAAGCACTTCCATTAACGAATGTAACCTTTTCAAATGCATTTCAATTACGCTCACAACAAGAAGAACTACAAGTCAAACTCAATATTCAAATTGCAAATTTTTGCAACTCAGAACATTCACCACCATAAGAATCCCACCACTTAGCTGGAGGTTTCTTGTCCCTGGCCAGCTTTGCAGCTTCTATGCCAGATAAACCTTTTGCATCCTTGAAAGATTCAAGTTGTAGATCTATTTTACATCTCTCCCATGAATTCGGCACAATTCTTTCAAGGAAATTGTGTAGTACAATTCTAATTTCAGCATCAACATTGAAATTAGGACTACAATGGTATATGGGTTCAAGTAATAAGCCATTGCATGCAAAGGCCTATGCAATTGAAGCTCTCATCTTTCATCAATGATTTTCCATACAGATTCATAGCTTTTAAATGAAAAAAACTGAATTAGCAACATTTAAAATATAAATTTAGATTCTACATAAATCAATGTAAATTGCAAAAAAGTACCAAAAAACAAATTCCTACTTACAAAAATTCAGATTTTTTTTCCTTTACCTTTTCACGACTTTATTGAAATTGGCTTGTATCTTCTCTTTTGCATGATCCATCTCTTGATAAATGAAACTAATAGCTGGTTTCTCTTTTGAATCCACCAATCTAAGCGCTTTGAGGAGAGGATATGCAACTTTAAGACATGTGACAATATTTTTCCAAAATCTAGAATCCAAAACCATGTGTTGAACTCGTTTCCCATCTTGTTATTGATAAAAACTTACTAGCTTTCCATGTTTTGGAAGTAAACATGAACATCAAAGACCTTGTTTGATCATTAAGACATCCTATGGTCAAATAAGCAGTTGCAAAACAAGTAGCAGGTCTAATCAAATCTCTATCTTTAGTAGAATGCCTTAGAATGGAAATTAGCAAGGGTCTTACATAAATATATGTTGAAATCCTTCTGGCTTTGGCAATTGTCACCTCATGGACAGTTTACTTCTTCTCAAAATTCTTTGAAATCAAGTCAATGCAGTATGCAGCACAAGGTGTCCAAAACAATCTTTTCCTTTTCTTCATTAACGTTTCACTAGCAACTTTATAATCTGCAGCATTATCACTAACCACTTGCACAATATTCTCCTTCCCCTAATTTCTATACAATTTCATCTAACATTTCAAGAACCTTATCTGTAGTTTTAGAAATGTTAGATGTATCCAATGATGACAAAGAAACTGTTCCCTTTGGACTACTAGCCAAGAAATTGAAAATTGAACGCCTCTTCTTATCAGTCCATCCATTAGACAAGATAGAACAACTAAATAGGAAGTTACTAAATAACATATCTCCTACCAAAAAGAAAAATAGGAAACTACTAAATAGGAAGACTAAACTGCAAACTGCGTAGTTGCTTCTCTAACATTGGGTTTCACATTTAATCTACAAAGACACTCATTTCCATGGCTTGATGAGATATAACTTCAACCATACCAATATTTTTAACCTTTTTTTAATCTTTTTGAATAGATTAAATATCATAAGAAGAAAAGAAAAATTCCTAATTTATTAAGAGATTTTTCTTACTCAAAATCATCCTTTGAAATATGTCTACTGTATTGGAGGGAGATGCAAATTTTGTTACTCTTTGTCTTCTGTTTTGTCTAGGGTTCTGCTCATTGTATTTTATCTAACAGGTTGTTAACCATTTAGAAGGTGTTCGAAATCCATTATCACCCTCAATGCACAACTTTTATGTTCTGATCGAGACAACAGGCAGTGATGAATCTTATGACAAGTAACCTTCTCACCTGTTTGTCATTCTGTCTCTTGTAATACAAGTAAATTTTGTTCTTGTAGAATTCTATGGTACTTAATAAAAAATAACTACATGACTTTGAGATTGAGGCGAACCTTGGCCCCTTTGGGTGGCCCTAAATGGAATTTTGAATTTCTTCTTTCAAGAAATTGATTTGTGTATACAATATTGGTTTAACAGTTATCATAGTACACTTACTCATTTTAAATTGGCAATAGCTTCACAGTCAAATTGGAAAAGTTTGACTGGAAATCTAGTGCTTTTATTTTAATAATTTTCTTGAATGCCTCACTTTGCAATGTGGAACTGTAACATGTTGCAGTCCTATAACCAATATATTACAAAATTGGTATCTTTTCCTTGAAGAAAAATTACTTGAGCTTTAAAATTTTGTAACTAAGGCTTAGTTGTTGTTGTTGAAGAAAAGTTACTTGAGCTTTAACATTTTTTATTTTTAGATTTTGGTTTGACCTTTCATGACCATTTTGCCAAATTGCATTCTTTGTTTGTTCATTTTCCTGTCCAACCTGGACAACATGTGAAATTTGTGTTGGTAATTACATTCGTATAACTTCCATGTCCACATTTCTAAAATTTACAATTTTGTGATTTCATACAGAGAGAAGCTTGAGGCATTTCTATTCCGCTCCATGGAATCCGGTTTAATTTCTGATGGAGTTCTTGCACAAGACAGTAACCAGGCATCATCTTTTTGGCGTATACGTGAGGTTCCCATTTCCAACTCAATCAATTGTCTTTATATGCAGTATTCTTTATGATTTTTATAATTGAAAAAATACTTTATGAATTTCACTTTTCATTTATGAATGAGCAGTTCATCTATTTTTAGATATGTGGCATGCCTTTCATTTTATTGCAAATGCTCCCAGCTACTAGTGTGGATGTATGTATAAAAGGGTTGAACAAAAAGTACAAGAAAGACAAGGCCAATTATTTCTCTAAATGGCAGTTCAAATAAAAAGTCTTATCCATGATTTTAATCTGCAATATAGCTCCTTCAGATGGATGATCCAGTTTTGCAACCTTAAGCTGTTTTACTCTGGATGTTGACCTTGGTCAGTGTTACTTCTGGCTTTTCATGAATCTTTCATGGTTCAACTATCAATTATCTTTTCAACCAATTAACTTATGATCTGTTTGTGCGTGAAGGCCTGTCAAGAAATAGTAAATATTGATATCAGAGCTGGATCATCTCATGATTTATATATTTATGCATACATGAGCGTACTGTTACCCTTTTTTTATCATCCTTAATGATAATTTGGGAAACACATGAGAATACAAATATTAATATCCTTTAACTGGATCACTTAATTTGGTCTCAGGGTATACCAGAGGCATTGATGAGAGCAGGAGCTGTATACAAATATGATTTGTCATTGCCTGTTGAAAATATGTACAATCTTGTTGAAGAAATGCGAGTAAGATTAGGTAAAAATCTATTATTGATTCATTTTACCCAAACTTTGAACTGGTATTGTTTTGGATGGTAGAATCCGTTCTGACAGGTTCAATGGAGAGAGAGAGAGAGCAAGGAAGGGTGTGGATGGGGAATGGGTAGGAAAGAGAATTAATTTCTTTTCCTGACATTGTAAAGGAATCTTTTATTTTTAATATCCTGAGGAATATGTAGTTGAAGAAAGCTACATCTCCTTTTATTTTTTGGATTATGATTACAGAGGATTATTAGTAGACATAGCCCCAGCATCTACTGAGCCATGGGCCCATGGTTCCAAAGCAGAATGGAACTGGTTCATTTCGTTCCGTCTCTTTAAACATCTTCAAGAATTAGATGTCCTAAACCAGATTGTTTTTAGAGAGAGAGAGAGAAAAAAAAAAAAAAAGCTCTCACTGAAACCGGCATGTGTACACCTCTAATTTGTTTATTCTGCATATGATGCATGTAGTGGACATCCATTCTTTAAAGCCACTTTGTTTTATTCTGCATGTGATGCATGTCATATCTCTCACCTGTATGCCATATTTCTCAGCTCAAAAAGCCAAAGTAGTGGGATATGGCCATTTGGGAGACGGCAACTTGCATCTCAATATTTCAGCCCCACAATCTGATGATATGGTGATTTTAATCATCACACTTCAGGGAGTTATTTGCATGCTTCCTATACAACTACTCTTATATGCTATAAACTTTGTGGTTTGCAGATTTTGGCACAAATTGAACCTTATGTCTATGAGTGGACATCTAAATACCGTGGAAGTATAAGCGCAGAGCATGGCCTAGGACTTATGAAGGCAAATGAGATATTTTACAGCAAGTCGCATGAAACTGTATGTATTTTGGATTGTGAAACATCCTAATTCATTTAGGATACGTTTGGTGAGCATAATGGGAGGAGATATAATGTAATCAAAGTCATTTTTAGTGTAAACTAATGTAGCCAACTTCTTACTCTTCTTTTTTTTGTTTTTTTTGGCAGCATGTGTTATCGCTTTGTTATATGTCTAAATTACATTTATTGCACTTGGATAGGTTCAAGTAATGGCTTCCATCAAAAAGTTGCTTGACCCCCATGGAATACTAAACCCATATAAAGTTCTTCCGCACTCGCTCAGTTCATGCTAATGAGGTAATAAATTTGATCAATGAATTCTTGTTTCATTTGAGTATTCATATAGATAATTGTTTCAAAGTAATTTAAGGTTTTAATTGTTTATTGAATTATTTTACCAGTGACCGTCTATATCTGGAACATAAAAAGAGAGGAATTGCTGTGAATAATATCTGACCGAGTTACATCGGTAACTTAAGGAAGCCCACTATTCTGATAGCTAGACGTAAGTATCAGGGCGCGTTCTACCACTGAGCTAATAGCCCGTCTAATTGATATGCAAGCTTCTCATGTATCTTGGTGTATATTCTAATGACAATAAAGAAAGCTTTCATGATAGTTGTATTTCGACGATTTGCTGCCTTTCTTTATTTGCAAAAATAAATATTCACCTCTCAGTGCTTTCAAAATCAGACCAAAGCAGCAGGTTGAACTGTTTAAACTTATTATTGGAAAACAAAATATCTTCTGTTAATGATTTATTTTAGTAAATATAACATGATGTTGCAAATATCTTATGATATACTCTAAACAAGCTTTTGCCATCATCAGTTTAACCATTTGACATAGATATTTTCCTACTTAAATGTTTGGTAGTGGCATCAACTTTTTCTTTAAAAAAAAAAAAATGGAAATCTTGCGCATTTTTTTAATGGAAAAAGCCTGTGTTGATGGTTATAATCTATTTAAATATCATCTAATTATTGAAAATAGGGAGGGGGAATATTGGGATTAATGCCTCAATTAAGTTTATGAATTGAAAAAAAAAAATCTTTTAAGATTTTAATTTTATTGGTTTAAAAATAAAGATAATTTAATTTTGTTCGTCATATTAATTTTGTATTTAAATCTGAATTCTATTGATAAGAATTCAGATTTAATTTGGTAAAATAAAAAATTATATAATATATATTAGATATGGTATATTAAATAGGAGATATATTGAATTTCTTTTTCAAGTTCATTGAAATATTTGTTGAATGAATTAATCTTACAATGTTTTCGGACCTATGTTGGGTTAAAAACCAAGGTATTAGACTAAAGTTTGTGAGATACAGAGGGCCCATTAATTCTAATTGAGAACGAAAGACAAAAAAAAAGAAAAAAATACAAGACAACTAATGTATAAATACATACATATATATATATATATAACAGGAGGCCCCCATAATTTCTAATTTGAGAACGAAAGACAAAAAAAAAAAGAAAAAATACAAGACAAACTAATGTAAAATACATACATATATATATATATATATTATATTTATAAGAGAGAGAGAGAGAGAGAGAGAGAGAGAGAAGAGAGAGAACACTTTTGTTAAAATTCATGTAGAAAATTATCCTCAAAAAAAATCATTGTAGAATAACAAAATGTGAATAATATTCATCATCCACATAAAATATGAGCATTTTATTGTCGATTAAAATATTCTAAATTGCTTAATTATGATATATTAAAATTATTTATATATTCAAATAAAGTATATATTAAATATGGTAAGAATATAAGAATTTAATTTGGATAAAATTAAAAAATATATAATATATTAAATTATAGCTAATAAAGTATATATTAAATATGGTAAGAATATAAGAATTTAATTTGATAAAATAAAAAATTATATAATATATTAAATATAGTAAGAATATTAGAATTCAATTTGATAAACTAAAAAAATTTTATATTACAATAAAAAAAATATAATTGTCATTTAGGAATTTTCTTTATAATTTAATGTTATGTTTTAATATTTATTTTATATTTTGGAGCATATATTACATTCCTAATATAATTCCTAAAAAAATTAAATTATAAATATATACAACGAGCATAAACAATGTGCAATAATGACTAATGTTTGAACTCTATTTTGACTCAATTTAGGAATTTTAAAGACTAATATTTTATCATCGGTAATAAATGAGTAATAATTAAATTCAATCAGGAATTTTATACGTAAAACAATTAATGGAAAAAAAAAGCACGAGTACGAACAATGAATATAAATGACATGCAAGATGCGTTCCGAAAGACTACTATATAAAAATGAAAATAGAAGGAAAATTGCAAAAATACCTCTACTATAGCGCATCTTTTTTTATTAGATATACTTGGTTAGAATCGTTACTTTTGTTAATTTTGCAATTTGAAATTGAATAATACATGTTATGAATTTACAAATTTGCAATGAAGATTTACTTGTTGTGACTCGATTATATTATTGTTTGTCCATACATTATAAAGGGGAAGGGAATTCTTATATAGTTATTCGTGCACTTAATTAATACTTAAGATGAAAAAAACTCAATTGATCAAATGCGGTACCACTACAAGAAAAATGCCAAATTACGATCGATTTCAGCAAATCGATTATTTTTGGTCGCTAAAAAATTATTAAAATAGTGACCGTTTAGAGATAGGCTGCAACCAAAAAAAATGGAAAAATAAGATAATTATTTAATATATATTGCGATTGTTTAAATTCGAAATAGCGACCATCTTGGAAACTGAATAGAAACCGGTCGCTAAAAGTGGCGAAAATTATTGGCGCTAAAATTACAAACTGTTTTTGTGACTAGTCAGCGATGGAACTGTAAAAAAATTGTATTAAAAAATAAAATTGTTACGGCTTTTCTTTTTATCAACATTTTAAGGGTTTTTTTTTTTTTTTTTTCTTAATCTCATTATGGCTTTTCTTTTCCCCTTGCCATTGCTTACAAATGAGTGTAGATTGGGTGACCTTCATTTGTTGGTTCTGTGATTTGCTGAAGGTAAGAATTCTCATTTTGTTCTTAGTTTTTAATTTTTCAGTTTTTGAATGCTTCCTCTGTTGTATGCTTTAAATTTTCAAATTTTTGAATGCTTAGTTAGGGTTTGGTGGTGATTTCTGCAATTACAAGTTTGTTTGCCACTTAATTCTTTTATGCCCACGCAATTCTGCAATTACAGTCCTGCAAATTACGCAGATAGTGTGAAAATGCTTAGTGTCGGTATTATTGGTTTATGGCATTGGCAGACATCTTCTGTTTATTACAACAATTTTACTACTGCTCTTCCAAGTGCCACTTCTGCAGCTACACAGGATCCAGCTTTGACCGAGGAGATTCGTCTAATGCAAAGAGCAGATGCAGAAACAAGCGGAGGAAATGAGACAACTTAGAGAGTGGCGAGAGCAGGTGATGCAGCAGATGGGTACCAAACAGGGTCCACGTGGTCCTCCACGTGCAGACGCTACTACTTCTGCAAAGGATGCAGGCATTACACCACTTTCTGACCACTCACCAAATCACTCTGATGATGATACGGATGCGACTTAGATATATTTGACTAATTGATCTATTTCAAACTTCCTTTTTTAGATTTTGCAATTATTGTGTATTAGGATTAGTCAAATATTTATTCTACAACTGTTTGACTGGCTTTTGCTTCCTTCCATTTTGTTTTTGTTTATCTTGGAAGGTTGGAAATACTTGTGTATATTTGGAATATGTTTTTGCAGGTTGTAAATTTTTTGAAATTATATATAAACAATTTTTTTTTCTGTATACATGCATTTAGCGATCGAATTGACACAATTTAGCTATCGAATATTAAATTTATTTTAATTCATTTGAAAATCTTAGCGACCGAATTGTGACCGATAAATGGAATTTAATTTAATTCATTAAAACTATTAGCGACCGATTAGAAACCGAACAATGACTTTTTTCGACCATCTAGAAACCACTTTGTAGCTACTAGAATGAAACCGAATTAGCGACTACCTTATGATTTTTAGCGATCGAAAATCGGTTGTTAATTTATTGAACGAATTACAAAATGGTCGCTAAATGAGTTAGCGACCAGCAAATTAGCAACAAAATCGTTCAGTCACAATTCGATCGCTATTTGACGAGTTTTTTTTATAGTGACTGTATGTTCATAAATATGAACAAGCAATTACAAATATTATAACTATTCTTTATGATAATTCCTTCTAATTTCAATTGTGATAAAATAATTATAAACATGATCAGTAGCACTAAAGAATATTTAGCATTACAAAAGATGGATTATAGCAGCCACTTATAAAATAAATCAATAGCGACTCTATTTCTGAATGTATAAATTCATATATTAGTCCAGATAATTTCATCTTTCTATGGACTTGAATTTTAATTCTAGATCCAATACCTTCCTCGTGAATAACAATTTTATCGCCAACTCGCAAATTCTTTTGACTAGCAAACTTAAGCCAATCTGTTGAAAGAAAATGTTCAATATTTCCATCTTCTCGAATAGAGCAGGGAAAGATACATTGGCAGCCACCGTCATCATAGGCATGCATGTCCACTCTCTTCTTCTCTTTGAAGAATTCTGTAGAACTAGAGATTGGTAACTGAATTTCAATATCAGTATTGGTCAGTATTTTTGAGAAGAATACTCGTTCTGCCATTTCTTGACTTGTGATAATTTCAAAAATACTTCAGCTTGGAGAAACCTGTGTTAGATATCTTGGTTTTCTAACTTGTGCATGTCTGTGCGTGTTTGATGAATAGTTTGCTGCGTAGCGAAATAACATGCTATTTATGGTAAATTGGTAGATAATTAATTGAAATAGTTGATTTTTTCCTTCAGAGTTGTCAAACACAAGTTGATTTTTCTATATTTGAAAATGCAACATTATTTATTATTCTTGCAAGAAATTTAACACTCTTCGATCAACATATTGATTTTTTTATATTTGGTTGCTATATTTCTCTATTATTTCTATAAGAAATTTAGTATTCTTCAATGAAGTTACAAATTAAAGGGGATAAGTGCGATGTTTAAATCCGGACGTAAATGATTCTTGCGTTATCGGTTAGGCTTGGATTGCATTGACTTATTAGGTTATATTATAATTATATTTGAGTAAAAAAAAATACCTTTATTCATTCTAGACATTAAATTTTTATATTGGTTAATAAGTAATTTTATTTTCATGAAATTTTGATTATCAAATTATAGTTAATCTTTTACTATTATGAATATGTTTTCTTACGAAATTATTTAATTATTGAATTTTTTATAATAATAATAAAAAAAAAAAAAAAATTATATAATTATTAATTATTGAATTTTTTTATTAATAATAATAAATTAATAAAAATTATATAAATTAAACTAAATTGTATTATAATAAAAATTAATAAAAAATTATATAAATAAACTAAATTGTATTTATTTGCAACGACTACAAACAATGTGCAATATACATTCGAGAATACGAACACGAATGGTGAGGGTAATATTCAGATGGTTAAAAAGGGACATAGTTAATTTAACAAAAATAAATTGTCATCTATTTTGATCTGTAAAAGAATAAATTAAAAAATTATTATTTTTAAGTAATTTTTAATTTAATTGATTGTATTAGTTTTCTACTTACATGTAACATTAATCTTATTGGGAAAAAAATGAAATAAAAATTTATTTAAAAAAATAAATATTAAATGAATGAATGCATATAATTATGAAAAGAGTTAAAATC